CTTCTTAAGTGCTCTAATTTCATCTCTAATTGCTTGTTTCCGTTCAGGATCCTTGGGTGTCTCCTAGATAGAATTAGGAATCTGCACATTGTCAAGGGTGGATATAAAAGCTTAGTTGGATGGAAAAATAGGTTATAAGAAATGTATTTGTTGATGGGATAGTTTGTACAAGTTCTTACTCTTTTTCTTAGAGAAATTAGAATGTTTAAGTTATCTATTCTAGGTATGGTGGGAAGACAAAAAATTTTCTTACGTGTGCAATCTGTGAATGTTTAAGTATGTTTGTTTGCATGTTACTCTTTGGTAGGTTGGGAGTAGGTTGATCATTAAGAGGTTGTGTTCGCTGTAAGTTTTTGTAGACCAATGCTTTCGGGTTGTGGTTGGCATGGAGGTGATTAGAAGTCTTTATTGAGCTTGATTAAAATAAAGACAACCATGTAGAGTCTCTTGAATGTTGGTCATTCTCCCAAAGCTGATGTCCCCTCATGTTTTTCCCCGTAATTTGAGGTTTGGGGTAATATGTCTGATTTTCAAAGAATGTCATTTATATTGAAGCGTAGAATTTTCTGGTGGTTGGAGAATAATAGTTGTAGCCTTTTGGTTTAGAGAGTAATCTAGAAATATGCTGAGATGTGTTTGGAATTGTAAAGTTCTTGAAGACATTCTATTGATGAGATCTTTGATTGCAAGAACGGCCTCTCCCTGAAAATGTTTCGGAACAAAAGAGGTGAACATGAGAAATCGGACTACTTCTAAGAGGTGCTTTTCTTTTAGCAACTCGGTTTTGTTGCTGTTATTATTTGGTATTATTAGTTTTGAGGGCTTAAATCTTGGTTTGGAATTGAATTTATATTATAGTATTGAAGTTTTGGAAGATTTGGCCAACCTCAGGTTTTCTTTTATAAGAACTAGCCAAAGTTAACCTAGTATGATCGTCAATAATGACAAACTTTCTTGCACATGTTATTTTTTTACTCTTGAGGGACCCCACAAATGACTATGAATTAAGGCAAAGGAGTGAGAAGGTTTGTATTGGAGATTAGGATAATTGGTACGTGTGTGTTTGGAGAGTTGGCATATTTTACAATTGAAAAACTTTGAATTTTTATTGATGAGTAAGTATGGATATAGTTTTTCTAGGTATGTAGAATTCAGATGACCTAGTATGTAGTTCCAACATAACCTTACTATCCTTATTGGAAGATAAGTCTAACTAGCTTTACAGGACATACTAGTATTTTGGGTTTGGTTTATGAGAGAAGGATCTTCTTTGAAGAGGTAGAGTCCAAAACACATTTCAGCATAGCCAATTTTCTTTCTCGATTCCAATTCTTGAAATTCACACACGAAAGGAAAGAATTTTGCTTCACAGTTGTGGTCATTGGTCAACTTACTAATGGATAGAAGATTGTTATCCAAATTAGGAGCATATAAAACCAAGTTTAGAGTCAAATCCTTGGCAATTTTAACTGTTCCCGAGCCTTCAACCTTGGAGAGGGAACCATAAGCAATTCTAACATTGTAGTTTTCCTTGTTAGGGGGATTATATTTATAGAATAGTTTGACAATTTTAGTCATGTGATCTTAAGCACTGGAGTCTATAATCCAAGTATGAGAATGTTTTGTGTTAGCAAATAAGGTAGTTGAATTGTTACCTTTCTGGCTATCAATCCAATCCCGAGAGAGAGAGCAGGAGACTGATGGAGGGTGTTTTCTCTGAGGAGTTTTTGGAGTGCCTATAGCTGCTCTTTACTGAAGTGACTTTGTTCAGGTTTTTTTTTTCTTCCACAGAAGTAGGATAGGTCTGGTTGTCTTTGTCGCGTGTGTATGCTTCCAATCAATGGGTTTACCTTGAATTTTCCAGCAGTTTTCGAGTGTCTTGGTTTTTTGCAGTGATCACACCAAAGACAATTTCCCTTCTTTCGATTTTCATATGTTTTCTTTGGGATCCTTAGGTCATCAAGGCTGATCCTTCCTACGGGTGCGAGATCTTGAGTTCCCATCATTAACTTTTTCTTGCTCTCTTCTCGACGCACTTTGATGAATGTTTCTCCAAGATTGGGAAGAGGCTTGGTTCCCATTGCTCTTCCTCTCACTTCATCTAAGTTCTCATTGAGACCAAGTAAGAAGTTGAAGTTCCGCTTTTTCTCCTCTATCTTCTCGTACAAGTTTGTGTCTTTAGGACACTTTCAGGTGTGAGTCTCGAACATGTTCAATTGTTGCCAATACCTGGTAAGAACATTGAGGCATTGAGTAACAGCGAGGTAGGCTTGACACAAGTCACTTTCGTTTCAAAATACTCATGAAATATTTTCAGAACTTGAGTAAGTATCTTTAACAACATTCCATATTTCCTTGGCTGTCTGAAACAGGAGAAAGTTTTCTCCTATCTCATCGTTCATAGAGTCGGTTAGCCATGACATGACCATGTGATTTTCCGTTTTCCAGACCCTGAAGTTGGGATGATTTTTTTTACGATTGTTACTTCGCTTGTAAGGTGCTCGTCTTTTCATTTTTTGCAGATATACATAATCACGGATTGAGGCTATTGAAGGTAGTTTTGGCCATTAAGTTTGTGGCTAGTGAGAAGGATAGATTATCCTTCTGGTCTTCCATGTGCATTCTCGATCGTTACTCTTCTAGGATTGGAGGTAACCTCGGAAGAAGAGGTGTTTATGCCTGTACTTGGTCATGAAATTTGGTTCAGGTTTCAGAGAAGGCAATTTTCTGGAGTGCCCTGCTCTGATACCATGCAAATTTTTTTTGAGAATTACTTCTCGGAATTATTTTATTGTTTTATGATGAAAAACAATACAGCAATATATAGGAGAAGCATTAAACCAAGAAACCTTAACTTTTTGTCCTTAATTGGTAAGATAAGGATAGAATTTGGGAGAAAATCTTAGAGGATCTCGTTATTGGATAACCGATAATCCCCATTAGATAGAATTTGGGTGGATCTACCCTTGACAGGAGGCAGATGGACTTGGAGCACCAGAGAGACATCCCTTCTTTTCTA